ACAACAAGACAATAAAAAGGAGAGACAATCATTAATATGTCTGGAGTGAAGAACAACAAACCATTAAGTCAACAGACTCCCTTAGCTGCCTGACTAAAAATGTCACTGCTGCTGCCTGGTGGATCATGAATCAAAGCAAGGTGCTTCTATTCTGAGCAGAAATTCAGCTTCCCCACTTAAGACGTGCATCCCAATTCTAGGGGGTTGATTTTTGGGGAATGGGTACATGTGCATGCAGGTAAATATGTTGTTCAGGGTGTCTGTCACATAAATAAAACTTAAACCACAAGTCCTTCATCTTGTACAGTGCATCTACTGTATAAGTAGATGTATAGTAGTTATAGGTTCTCAATAATAGTTCAGGTTTTCAATGCAGCAATACTCTGAATTTTCTCTGGTGTCAAATGTTTTTGTGTCCTCAGGCTAACTATGCTGGCTGTTATTCAGGATCGCTTTGTTCACTTTTTAGTGTGCCAAGCCAAAGGAGTAGATTCCATGACAACTATGAAATGCATTGCTTACATCTATCAGTCTCCTGAAACATGTATTTCTCAAGTTGGAAGAATCTGTTCTATATGTGTGTGTAGCTTTTTAGAAACTTGACAAAACAATACTGGAAGAGCATACATTTTAGGTGGCAACCATGTGTCTGCCTTCTAATGATCTGATCAAGCTTGACAGATTTCAAGATTTTCAACTGCCAGTACAGCAACGCAAAAAATAGTTATTTGGATTGTAAGGGTTGAGCTAAGTGCTACCTGATACCATATATTTGTATATTACCTGGCAGAATTAGGCCCTATTCTGGGTTGGTCCTTAGGGGCTACCATAACAAACACAAGTACTTATAAATGATATCCAAAAACTTCCTATGGCAGCTGGTTGAAAAGGAGCCAGATTGAATTTTTTCTTCGATTCAGTCAGAAGATGAGTAACCCCTATGCCAGGGGTGTCAAACATGCTACGAATTCAGCCTGTGGAGCCATATCATCCAGCTCCTGGTGCTGGCAGTTCATGGCCTTCCCCTCACATGCTGGATCCAACATCCCTGGCATCCCCTCCAGCTGGTCTGGTACACGAGCTAGACAATCCAGCTGGTTTGGAGTGGATGCCAAGTGCAGCATGGGTCCTGAGGGGGACGCTGTATGCAGCACAGTCCTGGACTGCCTAGACGCATGTGGGGAGGGTGGTAGGAACCTCTGGGTCCCTCTCATGCCAGAGCTGGTCCTTGCTTTGCCCAGTTCGGGACTGAGCTATATGTAATACCCACTTCAGCCAGTCTGGGATTTGTGCTGAACATGGAGTCCTCTCTGGACCAGCTGGACCGGGCGCCATGTGAAACTCATGTCCTGATCTACCCAGAGTAGGTGCCATGAGAAGCGGAGTCCTGAAGCAGCTGGATCAAGCACCACTGACTCTGGATCTGGTGGAGTGGGTGGTCTTGCATTGACTGGTCTTGCAGCAGTTGGGCTAGATGAGTTTAAGAGCCCTGCCCTCAGCTAGAGAACACTCAAGCCCTCTGTTCTAAATGGAGTGTCTCTGTCTGCTTGTGGCCTTCCTTTCTAGTCTGCAGAATCCTAAACAGAAAGTAAAAACCTTACAACTGAGTCACGTGTAAAACTTTCAGCCTTAATGCAATGGCATGAAACATTGAGAAAAACATTCCTAGCTCTCATCATCAGCGGTGTGGGTTTCCTCTTGTAGACTCAGATTATGTATTATGTCCAAGAACCAACCCTAAAGTAGCACAACATTTGAATAGACAGAAACTCTGAAAGGTAGTGATGTTGTAACTGTCTTAGAAATTGAATTTATCCAAATTGTAATCCTTCCAGACAACAGCAGCAAAGGAACAAACTCCCGCAATAACTGTGAACATTTCGAGGTAAGGACATTTTCTGAAGGTGGGTTGTAGAATTGAGAAGCTGGATTATTTTAGAGCCATAGAGTCATAGAGTCAGTGGACTGGAAGGAGCATGTAAAATCATCAAGTCCAGTCCCCTGCCATAGACAGGAGCTTAAAGAACTCAAACTAGCTTAACAAGGTGCTTATCTAGCCTTCTTTTGAACAACTCCAAGGATGGCGATTCCACCACCTTGTGCATAAGCTTGCTGTGTTACACCATGTATACCCAGGAAATGTGGCAGTCCCCAAGTAGACCAAGACCCTAATGGGATATTTATCCTCTGGTTTTACAGTTCCCACTCTGTAAGTGGCAGTCTGGTTTTTAACAAGCCATGTCATTGCTAAGTAAACATCATAATGGTACATTTGAGGCTCCAGACCATTCTCCTAATTAGTCCACATGATTATCAAACAACCTCTGATTTAAATGTCTTGAAATTACCCAGACACAGATACTGGGAGTGGTAATAGTAAAGGAGTGCATCTTTAAAGTCAGAATATTGTTCATAATTTGCAGATACACCAGATATTACAAGATTAATATGTGAGAGCTAGAAAAAAAAGCATGAAAAGAGTTCACATGCCATAAATTACTTAAACCTTGGAGATCAGTGAAGCCCAAAGTATCATATGTTTCAGAAAGGTCCATAAGTCTTTGCAGTTTCCATAACTCATCTGATGGTTTATTTCCTCTCAATCAATAGAAGTTAACTTTACCTTCTATCTCTCTTGTACCTTTTTTCAAATTTAAGGTATAGCACTGTATGCAAAAGTTCACACAACACATTTAACTTTAGAAGCTAATCTAGTCATAAAGGCAATGTTGAACTGAACAAAAGATTTAGTCTCTTCTGTCCTGGAAGAGCACCTTACACTCTTTAATTACCATACAGACTGACATCAGGAATCTCTAAATGTTATTATCTCATTTAAATGAATATGTCGTTATCATTGCCCATTGAACTGCTACTTGTTAAAATAATTTTGTTAAATGGGATACTGCTCCATGAATATATGTTACTGAAAAAATAAAGATGGAACCATCTCAGCATTATAAGTGGAGTTTATAGCCATGATGATAACAGTGTATGGAGTGATTTTTTTTGCTTGTTTGTCTGATATCTTTTTTGGATCAACTGTATATTTGGGAGAGATATTGGACAAGTTGTCAGGTGCAAAGTTCCACCACAAAGTGATCTGAAGAATGGCACTTTATGCTGGGAAGCTCGTCCAACAGCTCTCTCAAATATACAGTTGGTCTAATTGAAGCTACCACAAAAATTCCTTGCCTTTCATCAGTCTTATGTAAACTATTAAAGCTATAAATGAGCCAGTATAGGATTTGCAGTTTTACGGGCATAACTGGCTTGAGAGTTACCTTCCCATGAATATTTCTGTTGTAAGAAGTTTACAAAAGTGTACAGTAGAAATTGTCATGACTGGCTGCAAAACTATTCTTTTCACCTACGCAAAAAAGTTCCTGGGTAAACAACTGTGAGCTCTGTGTGCAGTAGGCTGTGGAAACAAATACCACTGGAATGAATTTAAGGATTAAATAGGATTCAGTCATTAGTGATTGCTTTCCAAATGTCAGACAGCCAAAGCCAACAAGGTGGTGAGATGGTTTGATAAAATGGTTTTAGAAAAGAAAAACAAACAAGAAAATCAAAAGACAGCTAAAGAAGCAGATCTGTCCTCAGGACATGCTTACCCCATGCAAAAGACTTTGGTATGGTATCATTACAACCAGTAATTAGATGCGTTTGAAATCCTACTCTATCCAATTCAAATCAAGGAACTAAACCAATGATACCCCACATCCCAGTATAGTGTCCCAATCACCCAGGCTAGTAGGTACTCTAGAGCAAGTTTCTCTTAATCCTTACTACTGAAGCTGTTTCACTCTCTATAAAAAAATATTCATTGGGAAGACAGAGAAAGGTACTGACTCTATGCAGTCCTGCAGTTGGATAAAACACCTCGTGGGAATGTCTATACATATGCTTTACTGCACAGTGGCCTATTTCAAAAGCAGCAAAAGGCCCAGCTGGCAGGGCCCCTCTGCCAATCGAAGCAGGAATGGGCAAGAGGCAAAATGAAAAACATTAAAGGAGCTGCTGCAGGGGGTACTTCCTGCATGATTTATGGAGATCCCTAGGCACAATATGATAAGGGTATCTGTCTTTTTTGTGAGAAGGACTGTCTTGGCTTATGCACCTCATCTCAGGGGCGGGTACATGGGGGAGAATCCTAACTACTTTTGAGGACTGGTGCTTAGGCACCACCCCTTACCCCAACTTCTCCCAGTGGCTACTTTAGCCTGTGTCTCATATAGTTCTCTGCCTTCTGGAGGTCTGTCTATCAGTAGAGGCAAATAAACTGTGCTAGCTGAAGAGGTAGCCTTTTTTAAAATGAGAATGAATAGAAAGAAAAAAGTCATATATACATGTTCTGTATCTCTATCCACCTCTGTTGTTTAGGTTTGAAATGTTAATGTGAATATATTCCCATATCAATTTAGACATAAATGAAAGCATTGCTCTAACATAAGACCCTCTGGATATAAGACTGCAAGTAAATAAGGAATTAGAATAATTTTTATTTTCTAAGCTGAAGAAAATGTAAATTATATACACACAAGATAAATACCAGAAAGTATATACTAGTGAGCATAGTATTTACTACTCTCTCTCAATGAGTACTGCAAACTTTCCAAGAGCAGGCAACTGCATTCTCAAACATGCTGCCTCCTTTTAAAGTGCCAATTAGCCTGTCCACAAAGCCACACAAATGTAGCAACGCTACTTCTGGTTCAGAAGACAGCCCACATGGACAGGCTGGGTACATTGGAGGGTACCACTGGCTGCTGTAGTAAACTGGTGATGTACTCAAGGTTACTCAAGCTACTAAGCCTGAAGTAAATGAGGTAGTGAACATCATGAGTACCTTAGCAGGACTGGGCTCAAAATGTATTTGGAAGGATTAGAGAAGGAAAAGAATGACATGCTTAAGACAACCTTGTTTTCATGTTACCCTCAATTTCCAGATAAAGCAGCAATTTAACAAGTAGTCTTTTATTTCATTACACCCTTACCTGGTTGTAAAGTGCCAAGAATGTGTCCATTTCTATATTCTCCAAAAGATCTTCAAGCACCACGTTATTCCATTGCTCTTCCCTTAAGCTGAAGTGAAAGAGAAAATGAACATTCTCCTCATTTAGTGTTATAAGGAAGCAATTCATGTCCAAATTCATCCATTCAGAAACATAACATTTTCCTGGCAGATCTTGTTAAAGTTTTATGGCACGCCTACTTAAACAAGCTAAGAACAGGTTTCCTTTCCCCATGTTCACCAAAACGCTGTCTATTTTGTCACACTGGAAACTGCTAAAAATGCAAAGCAGAATCTGGCCCTAATCTTTTACCTAAAACACAAATCCAAAATCTCTTAAAAACATTCAGACAGCTGATTTCCTCTTCTCCCTTTGTCTCCTCAAAGATCAACACATCTACCACCATACTTTTACAAAGTTGTGGGGCTTCTGAGGTTAAGCACTGCTGGGGAGAAACAGCTCCCAGCAAATTCTCTCTCAAGTCTAATTATTTTCTCTTTCTGGACTGAACCACAAGGCCCATTTACCATGTTTCTGGGTCATCCGGGGTTGGTTGTGAGGCTTCCTTATCCTGGCTTGTATTCTGGAAGCCAGCTGAACTGCTCCCCTTACTGTTCCTTTAGAGGTCCCTAATGGAAACTTTCTGGAGGACTAATGACCCAACTCTCTTCCTAGAGATCTCTCAGCCATTCTTCTGCAACATTTGTCTAGGTCCCACTGTTGGCTGATGCTTTACCAATATAATTAGAGGGCTCATAGCCTAAAGTACAAGGGTGCAAATGTGAAACATTTGATCTTGAAAGCAGAGGTCTGGACTCCTTTTGCCATGTCTAAAACCATTCCTTATGAATCAATCCAAGTGAAACCAACTTAATAATTCAGAGCTCTCTCACAGTACTACATGAAACTCAGAGCACTAAATGACCATGGACCTATGTAATTCAAAGAGGTATTTTTATTATTTAATTTTGCAAAGCCTCATCTATACCTGCTTTGTAATATTTGTTGTCAAGACAGCAATTTCCATACCAAAAAACCTTCAAAAGCATACATTTTCCCATTTTTGTTTTAGAGATATCTTTGCTCTAAAAGGAAAAATCCATTTTCACAGGGACACCTGGAAATGGGTCTGCTTGGCTAGAACAATTTGTATATCCAAGCAAAACTGATCACAGAGAATTCAATTTGCATCAAAATGTGCACAAGGGGGGAAGGTAGAAGTGAAATTCAAGCAGTTTGCATTTCATTGCAAATATTTCCCCAGAGACTGACAGTGTGGTTTTCACAGCACTCTCTATCCTGTCTGATAAACTTATGAGAACACCAGAATCAGTCTCGGTTTCTTGGTCTCCTGCTTGAACTGTGGAATATTAGTATTAACCCACTGGCCCATCCCAGAAATGCTGAATGCAATGCAAGGTGTTACAATTCACAGCTAATCAGTTTATTATTTAATGCTGATATTGCAATGGTGTCCAGCAGCCTCAAGCACAATTTACACCCCAGCATAAATGGGAGATGCACAAAGTTAGGTGTAGCGTACACTGGCCAGCAGAGCTCAGGTTTAGGTGGCAGATGATTACTACATCCACCCACAAAGAACCAGGACCTGCCCACTGGTTTTTGGAGACTTGAGCGAGATAAGGCAATAAGGCAACTAAGTATGCTTATGGGCCTAATAGGTGGATGAGAACCGGGCCTAAATTCTTTCTGAAAGGACAGAGTGTTTCCCTGCTGCCAGGAAAGTAACACTATCTCCCCTGAAGAATACAAGCTCACTGATACCCTGTGGTGGTAAGCAGATGAGTGAAGATATTTCTCAGTTTCTGGAGACTTGAGCAGTCCTGCTGAAAACCCTCCTGCAGAACAGTCTGGACATTAGTTTTTCCCCAAATTCATACTGACTAGAGGCTGCCTGGCATTTTTAACACCCTGCTGGGACACATGTGATCTCCTATGTGAGGAGAATATACCCACAGGGGCACACCTACACACGGAAGGGAAGATATAGGAAATCCTTACGCTTTGGGGCAAGGGAGGTCACTGGAGCAATGGGAAAATGCCACATCTGCAAGCTCAACATGAGCAGAATGCAAGCCAAGGGGTATGACTTAGGCAGAGGTCCATACCTGGCTAAACTCAAGGACCAGTGACCAACTTTCCATTGGGTGCTCCAGCACAACAGGTGGTTAGGTCTGCCCTGCTATGCATCCCCTTCCCCCTCAGATTGGGGCACACAAAGCACACCTCTGACAAAAGCCCACTGAACCCTCATCTGGATGCTATAGAGAGGAGGACAGAGTAAATCTACCCTGCCAGAAGCAGAGAGATGAGCAACCTGTGACAGAGAACCCTTCTGAAAACCACTGCTTTTTGACAGCCAGGATTGCAGGTCACACAATAGATGAAAAGCAGAAAGGGCAGTGAAAGTACTAACAGTAAGTGCTGCTGCATGACCAGCTGTTATGAACCATCTTGATCATTCCCTATATGACCTTCATGTTCCCTGCACAGTAATCTTCCCCCTCATATCTTCAGACATCACCTCCAGAAAGTGCTCCAGCAGATACTCCCACAGCAGTTTCTGCTAGTTCCAGGAAATGGGGAACTTCTTCTTTCCTCGTAAGAAATGTTGCTATGCCCTCATTTAGCAGCTCAGCAGGGACCACTGCTTGTAGCAGCAATGCAACACAGTACCAAAGTACCCTCCTGCCTGCTGCAGCATTTTCTTTCTCCAATACTTAGTCATCCTCAGTGTTCACATAAATCATTACCACAGCATTAGCAGAGGATCTGTTTAGCCCAGTCTACAGATCTGCTTGGGCCCCCTCTCCCCAGGCTATCTCCCCTTAGCCCACCTTCTCTGGAAAACAGAGAAACCCATTGGTCACCAGTTGGAAAAACTGGCCATCACAGCAGTCCAGAGGCTTGCAGGTAGAATCGACTCATAGGAGTGGTACTCAAAAGTTTACAGCAGGAAAATCAGGGGAGTTCAACTGCTTTGGTCCTTCACTGTAAATCTGACATACTCTCTGCTAGATTAGAGCCAATGGTCACTAACTCCTTGGCTAGCAGTGCCTTATTTGCTGTTCAGTTCACAATAATGCAGAGGAAAATGGGTATGAAGGACATGTTCACAGAGATGAGAATGAAAGCAGATGGGAAAAGGAAGAGTGGAAGGAAAATATGCATCCGGCCCCCAGGCCACATTTTGCCCACCCCTGCTTTATGCTCTGCCACTGCAAGAAGGATGCCTGATACCACAGAGAAATGTATGTATAATGACAGGTTGGGGCTGGCAGCTGCTGTACGCTGATGGACTTTCTGCCAGCAAAACTTCAAAGGCTTTATACGAAGAGACAGTCCCTGTCCTTCAAAGCTTACAAAACTTTAAGATGGCTCTTTCTTCAGGGTATGCCACAACCAATGAAGACCACAGTGACAAAGCTAGTTTTGGAAAAGGCAGTAATTTGTAATACCAGAAAAACTTACCTTTGCTGATGTAGGTTTACTAAATGGTTACATTTATTCATGGCTTGACTTAGCAAAGTAGACAGTTGTCTGCCTGCATTAATTTCTACAACTTCACTTGAAAGTCCAAATCCATCTGGATTCCATCTCTGCCTATTTATTAGGTTCTGCTGATGTTGAGCTGACTCCTTATGTAGCATTTCATATTCCAGCTTTCTGTCAAGCTCTTCAATCTCCTAGAATATGAAAACATATAATGATAAAAACGAGTAATTCATCTTGGAAGAAGAAATTTCATTTGGGGTTAAGAAAAAAGATAGCATCATGGAATTGCAATATTACTTTATTCCATTCTCATTCTTCCAAATCACTTGCAGTCACTATAGTTTCCAAATCACTGTGATGGCTATGGTAAAACATGACTAGTAAGCAATGAGTGTCAGAACAACACCCTAGAGTATATCTTTGTTCTGCTAAAAGCCAATGGCATCTGAAAACTTCCAGTGATGACATCCAGAAGATACAATATCAGCACAAAAGACTGAAAAGAGAGACTGATATCTTTATAAGCAGCATAAAGCTGCTGAAACACACTGTTGAAAATGCATGCACATACATTTTAGTTATACTGAATCAATTACCTATACTAAATAGGTTGGAAAATGCTGAATGCTATTTATGATAACACAGGATCTATAAAATAATGTCAGTATGATGAAATAAGAATACTTTTTGAATGCCTTTAGGAGGCTCAGTAGTGGCATTTTAAAAATCAGGGTTTTTAGTGAAGAGTTGGTGCGAAAGCTTGTTTGGGCTTCACTTCTGGGTTCTGCATCAGACTTCCTTGGTATTCTAGACAAGTCATTTATTTTCTCTATGCCATAGGTCCCCACCTGTAATTTGGAGAAAATAATACCCTCTTACCTACTTTTTCACCATCCCCTTTATTTAGACTTAAGGACATTAAGCAGGGAGCTTCTAAATAAGTGCGTGTCCAGTACCTGGCATCAGGCTAAATTTAAGTCTTTGTGTGCTAAGATAGCAGTGAAAATTAATACTAATGAACTATTCATAGGGAGGTAAAACAAACTCATATGCACTGAAGCATGAGTTTCTTCTACTCTTTGGCTGAACAAGCTCTGATGCAATTAGTGTGAGAAGTTACTATGGCCTCCAGTTTTGGTGTTTTCTATTTAATAGGTATGTCAACTAAATTTGCCAACTGGTGAGATGAATACGCAGAAATAAAACAGAGCAACAGGCAAGCTTTGATTAGCAGGACAAAGTCTATACACATCAATCAAAGCAGGTAGTATAAGCAGAAAGAGTAGCAAACAAAAATGTCACCAGCCTGGTCCTCACACCAGATAAGGAATTCAGCACTACATATTCTTCTTTTTCTCTGGCTCTTCAGCTATCCTTTTTATACCACTCTCCCTTCCTCACCCAAACAGCTGAACAAGGAAGCTGGCAATAATCTGTTTCTGAATTGGAAACTGGTCCTGCCTTGGCACCTGTTACACAGACTTCAGAAAAGGCAGTAAACCTCATGAAGTGAGTTTAATGCTTTGTTTCTGAGCTAATCTTATCAGTGTGAAAATAAAGTTATGTATGAGTAATTAAAACTTTTCCAGATGTGTTGTCCACACACATATTCTTACCTATGGGCCACTCTGAAGCAGTGCCCACATACAGGAAGGTGGGGCTTGGAGTCCCTCTAGCTCCAGGTGAACAGAAATTGGAGGACTGGTCTGCCAAGCACTGCATCTGCCCAAGAGACTTCTACAGGGGCATACTGCTTTGTAAATAGAGCTCTAGGGAACTGTCCTGCAGCAAATGGTTATAGCAGTGTTATGCAGAAATGCTATGGACATAGCCTGAGTATGATGAATGATGGAATGTATCCATATTTCTGATGTGTCCACCACAGCAGCCTTGCATCATAATTTTATGCAGCCCAAGATCTGTTTAGATAATCTCTAGGCTGGTGTCACTGTACTTTTGGATGTGTCAGCTACAAACAACTAATGACATAATCATATCTGCAAGAGACGAATAAGGTTTGAGTTAATCTTCGGGCTCTGAATAAAAGCCTGTGACTACTTTGGGCAAGAATACAGAATGTGTTTGTGTAGTTACTTTATTTAGGTAGAAGGTAGTGTTGGGGGGGGGGGGCCTGCCATGAGTTCTTGGATCCCACCTTGTAAATGTAATTACTACCAAGAAAGCCATTTCCATGGAGTGGTATAGAGGACAGCATGCTATTATAGATTCAAACGGTTCCTAACCCCTCATCTGGGGAGAACTGAAAATGTTCCCATATAGATGCCCCTGATGTTGATGGATTTCCTGAGCATGGGAGAAGGATGCCACTGCATGCTGGCTCCTGGTGCCAGAGGGAATGGTACTACTCTGAGTCTTTTGACCCTATGTGTGAGATAGAGTCCAGAAAGCTATCCAGAAGAAGCAGCTGAGTCTGACTCTTTCTGTTCTTTTATATCCTTAGTTTGAACAGAAAGAACTGATGACAGAACTGGTCTTCCCCAGGCAAAACAGGCACCTTGTGTCGCAATCTGAATTATGCCTTCAAAAGAGGAACAAGGCCCAAACCCTGGATATGGAACTGATAAAGCTTAGAAAAGGAAGAACCAGGTAAGAGGGAAAAACAGATGCAACTGAGTAGTTGTGACAAAATGCCACCAGAGCTTTACAACGGCACTGATGAATGAGGGCAGGCACCAGAGGGCAACACTTGAGAGCTGTACCCTGCCCTGGATCAAAGAAAAGATAAGAAAATAACTCTCAGCATTCTTCCCACTGTTTTCTGAAAGGAAGCTGTCAGAAAGCAAGAGCTTTGCATTTTTTTCTATGGCTTGAATGCTGTCAGGAACTCTAAAGAAGTCCTTCTCTGGCTGAGAAGAACATGGCAGAGCAGTAAATATGCCCTGGTGTAGGTACCTGGGGCAGGTATAGCTAGAGCATACTCTCCTCTTACTGCTACAGCAAAAACATCTCCAGATGAAGCACTAGGTGGGAGACACCTTCAAGTGTGAATGCATATGTGGATAATTGTGGACTCAAAGGAGACAATATTTGTTACAGATCTGTTTAATACAAGGATACTTTAAACCAACTTGGAACAGTTTGTTCAGTGTGTTTACTCTAACATACTATATTTAAGAAGAAGACTGTTGAGATGATAGCATTAAAATTTAACAAGGAGTTTTCATGATGATAGCTGTCTAATGATGCCCTCTAGCAAAAAGGTTTCACTTTTAAAAACCCATATTATATTTATTCTACTTCATGTTCTCCTGAGCTCTATTTGGATAGTCACAAATGGGAAACAAACATTTTCTTAGAGAAAGAGAGCACAGAACGACGAAAAATAAAGTGACAAAAAGAAATTATGAAAAAGTAAGTTGTCACTTCCAAAAATCTGCTGCAGAAAATATGATAAAGGGAAGCCAGAAGGCTCTAAGGAAGTTGTCTCTGTTTGTTTAGTTTTATTTTAAATGACTGCAAAGACACAATGCGGGACAGCAAGACTGACTATGCACTTTGGGTGCCCCATAATTATGGTTTATCACATAGCTGTAGAATTCATCATGTCAGGCACCATCACATATGTAACTAATCTTGCATTATTATCAAAACACTACAGCATTCTTCATGCACTACCTTTCCCATCTTTACCTGTGTGATCGAGATTACTATCTGTAACAAATATCACTTTTAGACAAAAAAGTCATAATCTGGACTGTGGAGCACAGTACTGCCCAAATTTTTTGCTCTGTGGGCTAGATGACTGATGCCCAATCCATCTGTGGGCTGGATTCAGCTGGTGGGCCTGATCTGGCATACGGGGCGAGCGTGGCAGGACCTGGTCTGCCCAAGCAGATGGGCAAATCCATCCAGCTGCACGAGGGGGAAAGGGTGTGGCCTGACCCATACGTGCAGGGAAGGGTAGGATTCCCCCTACCCCACCCAGCTTTCTGCTATTCAGGAGATCCAGGCTCTGCTCCAGGTGGGTAGGGTGTCCCTGGCTTCATGTATGTATGGGAGAAAATGGGGGAAGAATTTCTCTTCTCCCACAGTTTGTTCCATGGGGAGACCCCAGGGGTCCTTAGTAGAGCCATCTAATTCTTTCAGCAGTGCTACTGAGCAGTGAGCACTCCCCCAACTGGGCAGCAGCAGCAGTGCAAACTGTTAACTCCTTTTTATCCTTCTCTAACAGCCTGCTCTATGCATGTGTAGCTATGCACATAGCATGACGTCTTCATTGCACAAGAAAAGTTATGCTGTGATTGGAATAACATCTAAAGTCGCTCTCCCTCACAAAAAGCTTTTATATATGCACATACGCACACCCTGCTTAAACTAGAAAAGACAGCAGAAATACGAGACAAAATTTTCAGCAAGTATAACTCAAGATAATGCCATAGAAGTCAAAAGGGTGTCAGCCGTTGCTGAGCTGGCTTCTTGGCAATTTCCCTTCTCATAATACTGTTACTTACAGGACTGTGTGCCTCTAAAATCTGGGTACACTCCGACTTCGATAGTATTTTAGATGCACTTAGATGTTCCAGAAGCAAAACTTGTACACTTATGATGGCAGTATATCTCTCTAATGTTTTGGATTTTTTATCAGTCTTCTGGAACTGTAAAGCAGCAATGTACTCTCCAAGTTTATTCTCCAGGGCATGCAACTGATGCTCCTTTTCAAACAGCAACTCATTCTGGACCTAGAAAATCATAAAATGCCAAATGTAATAACATTAACAAAAATTTTATAAGAATATATATATATAAAGCAGAATGGCTAATATAATATCAGAATGGATAATAAAATCAATAATTATTTTAAAAATTATTTGATTTTTTATTTAAATAATTTTTTTAAATAAACTTTTTAAAATGCAAGCTTTGGCATTTTAATCCTGGTTTAAACAATGCCCACGTTGATCAGAAACTTGCCATCACTCCCTGTGGAGAAGAGGTTAATCACGAGAAGTTCCCAAAATACCTCGTTGTAACTTTTGATCGGAGCCTCACCTTCCATGCTCATCAATGGATTGTTGCTAAAAAAATGAAAGCACAAGTTAACCTTGTGCATAAACTGGACGGAATGACATGGGGAGCAAATGCAATCATGCTTCGAGGGGGCACTTTAGCACTTGGTTTCTGCAGCAGACTACTGCTCCCCAGTCTGGAACAAAAGGGTGCACACAAAGATTGTTGATACACAGTTAAATGCTGCTATGAGGATTATATCAGGAATACTAAAATGTACGCCATTACCATGGCTTCCAGTCCTAGCAAATGTTGCTCCCCCACAGCATGGCCACGATGCCTCATGCATGAGGGAATACCATAAAGTCACTGGTAACCTAAACCTCCCAATCAACAAGGATATCACCATGCCACCACTGGATAGGCTCAAATCTAGAAAACCCTTCTGGAAATACACCAAGAAGCTCTATGATGATCACAAGAGCACCAAAGAACAATGGAGGGAAGCCTGGGCAAATAGCAACCTGCCACAGAAATACATCATCAGCGACCCTACAACCCCTCAGCCACGATTTGACCTACTGAGAAAGATTTGGTCCTCCCTAAATTGCATCCAGATCATTTCTTAGAAAATGTGGTCATCTACTCCATAAATGGAGAATCAAAGAGAGTCCAGGTTTGCAACTGTGGTGTGATTTTTCAGATGGCGTAACACATTGTGAGCAATTGCCCAATTAGATCATTTAATGGTGATCTAAAAATCAATCCAAGCAGCTACCCCTGAAGCAGCTGAATGATTATCACATTTAAAAATATATCTATGAATGTTGTATTTCTAAAATGTCATACGAAAGAAGAAGAAATTTAATGTGATGGTATAACAGCATATATTGAGGCCTGAAATTACTATAATTGAGAAAAAAGAATTACATTTAAATAAAAATAAATATTCAAAAAGCACTTGTTTGCTAATGGGGCATGGTGGCAGAACCTCAAGAGGTATGAATTCCAGCTCTGATACAGATTTACGGATGTCAAAGGTACATGCTAGCAACATCACTTTCTTGTCTGCCTTTGGCTATAGGAACAGATATGACTTGTCTACACCAGAAAGGCAGTTAGCTATGTTAGTCTGACGTTGTAACTCGAGCAACATCACATATGCCACCCTCTGCTTACAGTGGCCCTCTGCAGTCTACACTGGACAGATGGGGTGATCCTCATGTGTAAGAGTGAACAAACAATCTGACATCAGTTCAAGAAAGACACACAGGCCTGGAGCAGAACACTTCAATCTCCTTGGGCATTCCACGACTTACTCAGGGTAGCTGTTCTTATACTGGAAGGCTTTAAAAACGCACTTGAACAGGAAATTGTGGAACAAGAAATTATCCACAGACTGGATTGTGTTAAAGATGGTATAAACAGGGACTGTGGATTCTTATCCCATTATCTAGATTAGGTTTTGTGACCCTTTTGTCCCATGGGTTTATTACTTGCTTGCCTCTTCCAGCACTACTTCTCCTTTCCACTCTTCCTTCCCTCCCTCACTCCACGTCTTTTGTATTCAAATCACTCTCTCTACTTGATATGCTGCTCTGTGTATGTCCTTTAACAGTATCTGATAAAGTAATCTTCGGGTCTCAAAAGCTTATGCTATATATCACTGATTTCATAGACATTAGGGCTGGAAGGGACCTCAGAAGATCATCGAGTCCAGCCCCCCGCCTGAAGGGCAGGAAGTCAGCTGAGGTCATAGGATCCCAGCAAGATAACCATCCAATTTGCTCTTCAAGGTGTTCAATGTAGGTGCTTGGACCACCTCCGATGGCAGGCTGTTCCAGACCTTGGGGGCTCGGACAGTAAAGAAATTCTTCCTTACGTCCAGCCTGAAACGATCTTGCAGTAGTTTACAACCGTTCGACCTCATCATCCCTTGGAGCGCTCTGATGAACAAACGTTCCCCAGAAACTGGTGGTCACCCCTGATAAACTTATAGGTGGCCATCAGATCACCCCTGAGCCTGCGCTTTTCCAGCCTAAAGAGCCCCATGGCTCTCAGCCTGTCGTCATAAAGTGTTCTCCTGACCTTTGATCATGCGCGTGGCTCTTCGCTCGCTGGACTCTCTCAAGCTTCTTCACATCTTTTTTGAATTGTGGAGCCCAAAACTGGATGCAGTACTCCAGCTGTGGCCTCACCAAGCCCAAATACAATGGGAAAATGACGTTCTGGGATTTGCTTGAGAAGCATCTGTGGATGCAAGCCAGCGTTTTGCTTGCTTTACTAGCTGCAGCATAACATTTTAGGTTCATGTTCATCTTGTGGTCAATGATGACCC